AGCAGGGAGCCCGATGCGGGGCTCGATCCCAGGACCCTGGGATCATGACCTGAGCCGAGGGCAGACGCTTAATGACTGAGCCACCCAGGCGCCCAGATTCTGCATTTCTAACAAGTACTCAGGTGATGTTGATGGTCCAGGGAGCACACTTGGCAAACCACTGGCCCATTGTGTCTTCCTTTGAACAAATTTGTTCCATTGAACAAATCCTTAATTTTGATGTTTTCAATTTATTTATCTTCATTTTACAGATGAGAGAATTGGAGCTTGAGATGAAGTGAATGCCCCAAGGTCACACAGTAAGCTGGGATTTGGACCCATATCTGGCCAACTCCAGAGCCCCTAGTCCTAACTTCTCGACTATGCTGTCCACCAGCTTTTGGGATGTAGTGGCCACACGCTGAGGCATTTGTCCTGAGACTCTGGGGAACTTTAATAAGTTCCTGCATAAGGGAGACACCGAGGGAGAAGCGCAGCGACAGAGCCCCTGAGAGTCACTGGGGCAGTTCTTACCCCATAGTTCAAGGGATGGAGCAATTTCCCTCACACCCTGAGGAAGTCCCCACCCATCCCGGAACTACCCTCTTACCAAAGCCACGTAACCCCTTGGTAGCTGAGGTCCAAAGGGCCCTGTCTGGGGCAGTCCAGGCTCCGAGCATGAGAACTCTGGCCACACTTCCTACTGTAGCATCCAGAGACCCTTCCAGGATCACTTCCCATTATGGTTTCATTCCTGGCACTGCAAGAGGGGGAAAACCCCGGGTGGTGTGACAGCTGCTTCTCAAAGACCTCTAGGGGTGGTGTAAGGATGGGACTCTCCTTCCAGCTAGATCTCCTGGGGACAGTTTTGATCCATGAACAAGTGGTGACGTTAGTGAAATTGTCTCCAGCTGCCCCTTCCAGTGTGGCTCCTTTCGTTTTGGGGTCCTGCAACTTCCTACTCCCTCCCAGCTTCCCCCCCAGAGACTCCTAGCAGACCTTCACAGCGGCATGTTGGGGAGGAGTCCTTGGGCCACTGTCCTTTGGTCACCAAATGTTTAGAGAGCATGCACTAAGAGCATGCACTAGAGACATTGTGCTAGACAAGAGGGAGATATAGAACAATTCCTGTCCCGGGGGGGCTCATGGCTTGATGGGGGAGACAGGTCCCCACATAATTACAGCATAAAGTTCTCAATTGTGAAATCGAAGAGTGAGCAACTAGCTCTTCCTAGGGAAAACAGAAAAGGCTTTGCAGGGTGGGGGGCGGGTGACTTACAAGCAAGACTCTGAAGGATGAGCAAGACTTTGGGCAGGTAGAGGAAGGTAGATAGGAGAGCCCTCCAGGTGGGGCCATCATGAGCAAAGGACAGGGAGTTCAAAGGAGCATGGCACACCCCAAAACTGATAACCAGTTGGCTCCACTGGTACCCAGTGGTTGGGTACCACGGCCCTGGGGGTCAGAATGAGTGCATTTTGGGGGCACCTGAGTGGCTCAGCCATTAAGCATCCGCCTTCGGCTCGGGTCATGATCCCAGGGTCCTGGGATCGAGCCCCGCATCGGGCTCCCTGCTCAGTGGGAAGCCTGCTTCTCCCTCTTCCTCTCTCCCTGCTTCTGTTCCCTCTCTCGCTGTCTCTCAAATAAAAAAATTTTTTTTTAGAGATTTTATTTATTTAAGAGAGAAAATGAGAGAGAGAGAGCACAAGAGGGGGGTAGCGGGAGAGGGAGAAGCAGGCTTCCCGTGGAGCAGGGAGCCTGATGCGGGGCTCGATCCCAGGACCTTGGGATCATGACCCGAGCCGAAGGCAGACGCTTAACGACTGAGCCACCCAGGCACCCTAAATAAAATCATTAAAAAAAAAAAAAGAATGAGTGCGTTTTGAATCCCAATTCTATCATCTGCTAGTTGGGTGACCTTGGATAAGCTCCTAAAGGTCTCTGGTCTTGGTTTCCTCATCTATAAAATGAGGATAATAATAGCATCACCCTCATAGATCTCGTAGTTTGTTGCAAGACTTCAGCAAGATCCATGTAAGAGGACATACAGTAAGTGCTCAATAAATGTGACCATAACTATTGCTGGGAACATGGGGTGTGGAGGGTGAGGAGCAGGATTATAGGAGAGAAAAGCAGAGGAATGGGCAGATTGAGAGGGCCCTCGAAGTGCAGGTAAAGGGGAGTGACCGAAAGGGCTTGCGTTTTACTGAAGGACAGGAGGGTTGACTGGACAGCTGAGGAGAGCCTGGGCCCTGGGAGCTGGGGCAGGACCTGATGATCGAGGCTGAGACCTGACTCAGATGGAGGAAAGAAGAGGAGAGAGCACGTTCAGGGAGGGGCAGGGGTAAGAGGGCTCCCTCCCCGCTCAGAAACGCTGCCTCTCACATCCTTTGATTAGATTCATTCATTCATTCGTTCGTTCCTTCCTTCGTTCCACAACTATTTATTTAGCACTTAAACCGTGGCCTCATGGTGTTTACATTCTAGAAAGTTTGTATTTCTATTAAGTAATGTTGCTTGGAATTTCTGGATGCAGTCTCCACCCATTCAGGCTTAAATGATCAGAAATTGGCAGCCCTATTGGTGTGTCCTCCCATTTTTTGTCTATCCTCAGACATTTCAGATGAAGGGCAAAGGGTCTTAGAGCCAGGCCAGACTGTCCAGCCCACTTCCTGTGATAGTGAGTTCACTGTCCTCTGTGATAGCCCTTTCCATTCAGTGCAAGAGTTAACGACTGACTCCTTGCCCACCCCACCTCCCACCCCCCACCACCAGAACCCTACAGGGCACAGCTGCTCCCTTAGACCCTGGGCAGCTCTACTGTGATGCCCAGAAAATGTCAGCACCTGCAGAAACTTCTCATTTCTGTCTAAAAGCGACTTGTTCCGAACAACCCAAAAAACCCCTGTTTTTGAAGCTTGTCGTATAGACAAAGGGATTGTGCCTTTGATATGTAAAGAGGACATTCAAATAAATAATAAACACCCACAGTGCAATAGAAAAATAGGCAAATTATTTGTACAGTCCACAGAAAAGAAAACACAAGTAACTCTGAAATGTGGCAAGTGCCAACCTCACCCATAGTAAGAGAAACACACATTAACACATCGAAAGAACATTGTTCAGTCACTGGATTGGCTAGGTTTGGAAAGTCTGGTCACTTACCATGTGAGTACAAACATTGTCACACATTGCTCGTGGAAGGGTACGTTGTTATAAATCCTACTTAACAATATTTTAAATGCATGGACCGCTTGATGCAGCAATTCCACTGCCAGGAACTTCTACGTTTACACTTACACAAGTGGAGGTGATGGATGTGCAAGGAAAATCGTTGAGATTAGAAATAAACAAATGTTCAATGAGAGGAGACTGGTTAAATAAACCGAGGCTCACACATATAATAGGATGCCATACAGCCATTAATAAAAATGAAGAAGCTTTCTATGAACTGATAGGAAATTATTTCCAAGATAAAGTAAGTAAGGGGGGAAAAGCCGGGTGCAGAGGAATGCACTTTGATTAGTGCTGTCTTTTTGTTTAAAGAGGGTGGGAAATTTCTTTGTGTATATGCACAGAATAGTTCTGGAAGGATCTATGAAATAGGTTCCAGTTGTCACATCTAAGCTGGAAGAGTGTATAGCTATATAATAAGGAGAGGAGGAAACTTTCATGCTGTGTCTTAAATGTTGTGCCACAAATATGAATTACAGAAAAGCAATTTTGTTAAAACCACTATTGTGATATTTATTGTACTCTGTAACACCATCTGTTTCCATGTCTGTCTGATCTCCCCCCCATCCGCCACTCCAACACACACACACACACACACACACACACGCACACACACACATCGTGTGAGGAGAAGAGGGATAGTCAGTTCTGACTCATTCTTGTGTTCCCTGGAACCCAGCATCACACCCAGCACAAAGCGAGTGCTCAGAAAATTTGAATACATGTTCATAATGACTACCTTCTCCAAGAAGACCCCAGTTAGTCTAGCCTCATAGTATTCCTGCTCTTGTGTAGACTACTCCCACATTGAATAGGGATAGGGATGGCCTGTATAATCATTGTGGTACTTCA